TACACAACCAATTTGTTCAATGATGACAGAACACAAAAACCACCACAACTGGGAGACCATTTGTATCGCCCAAGTATTTTGAAAGCTGAAATTGTACACGCTATCAAACTATTAAAAAGTAACAAAGCCCAGGACCAGATGATGTGTACGCAGAAACAATCAAGTTACTTAATGAAGAAAACCTAGACATTATTGTCCAAGCTCTTTAACATCTACGATACGGGTCAGATTCCAAAAGATTGGCTTCGATCTACATTTATCGCCCTACCAAAAACACCACGTGCGAACTTCTGCAAGGACCACCGACTAATAAGCCTAATGAGTCACTTTTAAAACTTTTCCTGAGAATACTTCACACTAGATTGTTTAAGAAATAAAAAAATTTTGTTAAAATCCTTTATAAAAGGTATATAAAAATGCCTCAAACGGGCTATCACAAACACATTGCAAAACGTTTTCGGATTAAAGTTTTGCAGTGTGTTTGTGATAGCCCGTTTGAGGCATTTTTATATACCTTTTATAAAGGATTTTAACAAAATTTTTTTGTGATATATGGTATACAGCCAGCTACAGGAACTTAGTTTCCTCGTGGAATGTTTAAGAAATGTGAAGAGGTCACTGGATGGAGTCAGTTTGGTGTCAAAAATGGACTTGGCACGAGAGAAGCGATCTTTAATATGCAAACATTAATACAGAATTGTTTAGATCAAAGAAAGGACGATTTTGTCTGTTTCATCGATTACGAGAAAGCATTCGATAATGTAAAACACGAATTGATGATAAAATACCTACAAGAGTTGGGATTGGATGCCAAGGATATAAGAATTATCGCCAATCTGTATTGGAAACAGACAGTAACAGAACGTCTTCAAAATTTCAACAGAACAGAAGATTTCTCCATTAAAAAAGGAGTAAGGCAAGGTTGTATACTGTCTCCAATGCTGTTCAAATTATACGTATTAAAAGCCTTCGCAGAAGCAGTGGCAGACTCTAATAAGGGTATTAAAGTTAACGGCATATTTATTAATAACGTGATCTAACTCTTGCAAGTGAAGCTCGAGGTTTAAAAATAAATATCAAGAAGACAAAAACAATTATTATAAGTAGAAATGATTACCCCAAAGCAAAGATATATGTCTCTGGAGAAGAAATCGAACAGGTCAGGCAATTCAAATGATTGGGTTGTTTGCTCAACGACGGTTGGGACCCCGAGAATGAAATAAAGAGCAGAGTTGAACAAGCCAGAAATGCTTTTTTGAGGCTTCGTAAGTTTCTGACTCATCGCAAATTTTACTTCAACCTCCGATACAAGATGCTTAAGTGTTACGTGTGGCCCGTTTTCCTGTACGGAATGGAAGTATGGACGTTAAAGGCCAGTTTCATCAACAAACTTGAAGTGTTTGAAATGTGGTGCCTGAGTCGAACGCTCAGAATATCATGGAGGGACAGGGTCAGAAATGAGGAAGTACTCAGAAGAGCGGGCTTACAGGATAGGAACTTTTTAGTTATGTAAAAAATAAGAAGACTGCATACTTAGGGCACATATTACGAGGAGAAAGGTACACTTTTCAGCAACTGATACTCGAAGGGAAGATAGAGGGTAGGAGAGGTCTAGGACGTAAAAAAATGTCATGGCTGCGCAATATTCGACAATGGACAGGAATCCACAGCTATGAAATGCTTCGCAATGCTGCTAAAACAGAATTATTTAATCCTGAATATTTAACATCTCACCTGACAAGACGATGTATGGTGGACGCCTACGGAGAAATGCACGGCACCTTAAGAAGAAGAAGAATCGATTGATATTCTGTCTTTTGGGTTAAAATAAAAACTTTTATAACAAACAGTTTTTTTCAATTTTCCAATAATTAACAAATATGGAGCCTGCATCCTGCGTCCTGTATCCTGCTACCTGCAAACTCCTTACTTATATTTCTTTATTATAGGGTAAATACTCCCAAGGTTATAAAATACTAAATAATACATATTATAAAAAATTTATTGTTTTTACAGTTCTTTCAGTCTTCACGATCGATGTTTTAAAAAATATATAATACATCGACATAAAAAATTTAAAATTACGAAACCGTACATCGATATAGAATAACATAGAATCTAATACACAATACACACGGTTAAAAATTGTATCCAATAATACTTATTGATTTTTAAAGCACTTTTAGGTCTCGTGTGTTTTATTTTAAAATTGGCGTTTTGTGAAGAATACCGCTACAGTTAAAAAAACAAAATTATACGAGGGATAAACTCTTCATAGACTCATTAGAAAAGTGTCGATAAATTTCAGCTCCAAGTAAAACGTGTTTTTTGTTGGTTTATACCAAAAATTTAAATACAAGTTTGTACTAAGAGTAAAATTAAAGTGTTTTCTAATAATAAAAGAGAAAATTGTAAATACAATTTTTATTTGATCCATATAAAATCATTTAAAGGATTGTATTGAAAACTAAACAACAGAACCTGAAACCCCTACAGAGCGCATCCCCAGGTGGCGGATAGGTGTCATTATGGTGTACAACAAAATTTCTGGAAACTCTACTGATCATGGGAATAGGATACCAAGGTTCGTAAGGGTAAGAAAAACACAAGGTTCACTTAGTCGTAAGCATGCGAAATCCTTGTACAGGAGCGCAGAAATCAACAACTTTAAGAATTGCAACGTGGAATGTTAAAAGTTTGTTCTCTGCAGGAAAACTGGATAATGTTGAACAAGAAATGAATAGACTAAACATCGATGTTTTAGGAATCAGCGATACCCAATGGCCAGAATCTGGGAAATCTTCAACACGAAATGATGGCGTTTTTTATTACTCCTTACACCCATCGTTACGGAGTTGGAATCATCATTTCAAAGCAATGGAAAAATTCTGTGATTACTTGCACTCCTTATTCAGAGCGCTTAATATTAATACAAATTAAAGAAAGACGTAACATAATAAATCTTATTCAAGTCTATGCACCAACAGCAGATCAATATGACAATTAAATTCTACAATTCTACAACGATTTAGAAGAAATACTGACAACAATAAAAAAACAACTTCTTCTTCTTCTTGTGTCGTCTTCTAACGAAGGTTGGCGATCACTTCTTTAAACGCTTCTCGATCTGTTGCAACGTGAAATAACAACACATAAAAAAACAACACATTAACAAAATAATGGGAGATCTTAATGCCAAAGTCGGTCAAGTTAAGGTAGGAGAACAGGTAGGAAAATATAGGCTTGGAAACAGAAATGACAGAGGATATCGATTGATTCAATTTTGCCAAAGTGAAGACTTCGTACTACCAAATACCTTTTTCAAATTACCTCCTCGACGATTATATACATGGACATCTCCACAACATACCAAAGAAAAAATAGTAAGAAATCAAATAGACTAAATTATGATAGCAAGGAGGTATCGTAATGCTGTTAAATGTACTAAGACATACCCAGGAGCTAATATAGGCTCAGATAATAACCCGGTAGTTACTGTAATAGAGGAGAGACCAAAAAAGATTAGAAGACCACACAGAAAGGCACTAGATTTAAATAAATTTAGGAACAAAAATATACGACAAGAAACAGGAGAAGAAATAAATGAAAAAAATTATCAGTGCAGCAACACATTAACGATACAAATAACGTTTACCAAAAATTACAGTACATAAATACAGCTATACAAACAGCAGGAAAGAAACATCTTACAAAAACAACAACAAAGAATAAAAGGTGGATGACACAAGATATACTAGACTTGATGGAACAAAGAAGAAAGATGAAGAATTACCCAGACAAATACAAAGAATATTGTTCTGAAGCTATTTGCTTGTGGCATTGTAAATTAATTACTAATAGATCTCAAATATGTAAACGATAATGAACATAGGGTTTAATGGAATAATTCAAATGTAGTCCTTAAAGAAACGGATGGTAAAAAAAGAAAAATCAAAGAAGCGGCTCTAATTTTGCTGAATGAAGCCAATTGTGTCGCAAATTCCTCGGCAGAATGTAGTAGGATCTGGTTACCAATATTGAAAGAGGAAGTTATTAATAAGAAAATACCAGTATGAGTAAGTCAGTAACATATAGAGGATACATCATTTATGTTTTTTTAAATAACGTAACTTATAAAATCAGAATTTTGATGTTTGTTGAAGGTAAATTAAATTCACGAACAAATACAATGTCGGGTAGGATTATGAGGTTTTTTTCCTGGTTTTTCCCTTATAATTTACTATGGAATCACTAACAGGAGAATTTTACTGTCATCATGTCATGTGTTTGTCTTTTTAAAGACGAATTACATGCTAAGATTTTTGTCTGACGGATATTCTCAAGTTAAAGTTGATTTCATGTAATCGAATAAACTATCTTATAAGTAAAGTCGTCCCAGGAGCGCAAACTCAACAATATTGGCAATTTCATTTTAAAGTCGTCTACTTTAAAATACATAATGTATGTCTGAATTATCAATATAAATGAGTCAGATAAAATTAAATATAGAAGAATTTTTCACTATGTAACAAAAAACAAAGTTTGTTTAATTTACTGTTTGTATTTTGAGAACGATTTCCGAAGTGGAAATTAAAACGTCAATAAACGTATTTTTATCTTTAATTGTGGCTTATTCCCAGTTAAATAGTAATTAAATACAAAGAAATAAATAAATACATAAAAAGAGAATAAAAGAAGCCAGAGAGGAATGGATTAAACAACAATATGAAGAAATGGAAACCTATGAGAAAAAGTACGATGCGTTCAATATGCACAAAAAAGTAAAAGAGATAACAGGAAGCATACAGAATTGCCAAATAGGTAAATTTAAAGACAAAGATGGAAATCTTATTATAGATCTTAGAGAATAAAATAAAAAGATGGACAGAATACCTGAATGAATTATTTGAAGACGATATAAACAATTTAACTCAGATAATCGATGCAACTGGGCCAGACTTTGAAAGAAGAAGTAGAATAAGCAATAAGAAACGCTAAAAATGAAAAAGCAAATAAACCTGATGAAATTCCTACAGAACTGTTGAAGCTTTTAAATGATAAATCCGTAACCATAATATTACATCTATTCAATACAATATACAGTACTGGTATAATACCTCAAGAAGGGTTGCTGTCTACATTTGTCACCATACCCAAGATAACTAAGGCAACGCAATGTTCAGATCATCGAAAAAATCTCCTTGATGAGTCACCTGCTTAAAATATTTCCTAGAGATCATCCACAACCGAATCTGTCAAAAGTTCTAATCTATCTAATTAGCCTTCTTCGGTCCATCTTTGGACATAGGCCTCCCCAATCCTTTTCCATTCTTCTCTGTCTGTCGCAACAGTCATCCATCTAGAGCCCACGTGCTTCTTGATATCATCTGCCCATCTCATTTGGGGCCTTCCTCTGCTTCGTTTATATTCCCACGGTCTCAAACTTATAAGAATTTTGTTCCATCAGTCTTCTTTTTGTCTTATATTGTGTCCGGCAAATCTCCATTTCAATTTTGCAACTTCTTGTCTAACATCCCTCACTTTTGTTTTCTCTCTTATCCACTCGTTTCTCTTCTTATCCATTAGTCTTATGTGCAACATCTGTCCTTCCATTGCTCTTTGGGTTTTTATGATTTTGTCCATGTTTGCTTTTGTAAATGTCCACGTTTGGGAGCCATACGTAAGAACAGGGAGTACGCATTGATTATATACTTTGGTCTTAAGATGCTGTGGATATCTTTTGTTTTTAAGAATGTAGCTTAGTTTGCCAAATGCCGCCCATGCCAGTCTAACTCGTCTCTTGATCTCTGCTGTTGAGAGAGAGCAGAGATCAGCAGAGGTCAAAAGTTAGATATCGATATTTACGATACACAGATGGGATTCAGAAAAGGATTAGGTACAAGAGAAGCACTCTTTGTCTTAAATGTCCTAACACAGAAATGTCTAGATATTAACCAAGAGGTGCATGCCTGCTTTATAGACTTTGAAAAGGGCTTTGACAAAGTATGCCACAATCAAGTCAAAGAAATCCTGGAAGGTAAGAACATCTACACCAGAGACATACAAATAATATTAAATCTGTACTGAAATCAGCAAGCTAATATAAAGGTAGAAGACCAAACATCGGACAGAATAGAAATACGTAGAGGAGTAAGACAGGGTTGTATATTGTGACCGTTTTTGTTTAGTATCTACAGCGAACAAATATGTCAAGGGATAATAGTCACATGCAAACGAAGGGATAATAGTCAATGGAGAAGCTATCAATAACATTCGATATGCTGACGATACTGTGATAATGGCAAGAACAGCGGAAGATCTACAACATCTAGTTGAAAGTATGAATGAGATATGTAATAACTACGGCATAAGGATGAACGTTAAAAAAACCAAATATATGACCTTCAATAAGAATCCAATAAGTACATGACACTAGTATCGCAATAAACGGTACCCAACCTGAAAAAGTAAGCGAATACAAATACTTGGGAACCCTCAATAAAGAAACAGGTAACCAAAATCACGAGATAAAAAGACGTATTGAAATTGAAAAGGTCTACCTTTATAAAAATGAAAAAATTATTTTGCTATCGTGATATTAGTATTCATCTACGAACTAAAATGTTAAAATGCTATGTACTCAATACTTTGCTTTACGGTGTTGAGGCATTACTTTTTAAACAGGGAAATATTAAAAATCTTGAAGCTTTGAGATGTGGTGCTACCGCCGTATACTAAAAATAAGTTGGGTGGATAAAATTACAAATGAAGAGGTACTACGCAGAATAAACAACGATTTAGAAGTTGTCATGAACATAAAAAGAGAAAACTTGAATACTTACGCTACCTGATGAGAGGACAAAAGTACACATTCCTACAAAATATAATACAAGGAAAAATCCAAGGACGCAGAAATCCAGGCCGTAGAAGAATGTCCTGGATGAGAAATTTAAGAGAATGGTTTGACTGTATCACTAACGAATTATTCAAAACAGTCGTAAATGAAATTAGAATCGCCATAATGATATCTAATCTCCGATAGGAGAGGCACTCAAAGAAGAAGAAGTGAAATAAAATATATTTTTTTTTATTTTGATGTTTTGTTTTAATTGTGTAGATGATCGTTTAAAATTACTTAGGTAGGTACCTAGGTATCTAAGTATCTTCCACAAAATAATTGGTGCTAATAATTGGAAAGTATATGGTCCCAATGAATAGCATATGCGTGCCGATAATTATAGTGTATTTTTATGTATGAGAGTGTACGGGTGACTCAATGAAAAACAGATATTTGTCAACAAGTTTACAGAAGTATATAGGAAAACAATTTTAAATTGAGTATGACCACCAGGTATAAAGGTTGGAGCAGAATAGAATACAATAGCTGTGAGGGTTACTAATCCCTAAATAAGGTTGCCAGTGTCGAAATGATGGAGGTTAACAGGTACTAATGAATTTGCAAGAAATGTAAGATGTTTATTTTATTGGTTATATATAACCAATAAAAGTTTAATAAGTACCTACCTATTTGCAAAATAAAGTTTAATTCTTTAGATAAAATAAAACGTTTTATTTTATCTGAAATGAGTGCATTCCACGAAGTAAGGGTTTCAACAATCAAACATTTAATTCTTTAATTCCAGGAATCTACGACAGTAATTAACTAGATAATTACCTTCTAAACTTATTCCACAGAAAATGTGATAGTGGGTTTTTCCATTTTGTAGGAAGGTCCAAGTGGCGTATTCAAAATTCTTAACAGTTCACTAAAAAGTAGGTACTTCAGTTGCAAGGTGCAGTTTATTGTGTATACTAGTGTTTTGGAAAATTTGGAAGTGCCGTGTAAACGCCGAAAAATTGGTCCTTTAACAGTTAATGAAAAAACATTAATAATTAATTGTTTTAAATCATTTACAGACAAACGTTTGTGTGAAAGTGTTGATGAGACCGTTGAGTTAGTTAGCAGTACACTTGGTGTTGGGAAATCTACGATTTACAGAGTTATTAAAAAAGAGAAATGTGGTAGTTTTCAAATGCTACGTAATGCTCCAGGGAAACAAAAATTTCAAATAGAATATCATTTTAAAGAAGGACTTCGACGGAAAGTGCATGAATTCTTCTTTAGACAAGAATTTCCAACATTGGATAAAGTTCTTGTCTCAGTTCGAGATGATAAGGATTACCCAGAAATGAGTCGAAGTACGTTATGAAAACTTTTAAAAGAAATAGGCTTTCGCTGGAAAAAGAATCCCAGAAAGTCTATTTTATTAGAAAGAAGCGATATTGTCATATGAAGAAGACATTTTCTAAGAACCATAAAGGAAATGAGAAACCAAAAAAGAAAAATATTTTATCTTGATGAAACATCGATCAACGAGGGTCATACACCAAATAAATTTTGGCAGGATGAAACTGTTACAAGTCAAAGGCACGCTTTTGTAAATAACTTATCTACTGGTTTAAACCCACCATCAGGAAAGGGACGCAGGCTGATAATAGTACACATTGGCAGTTCAGACGGTTTTGTTGAAGGTGGTTTATTAACTTTTGAATCAACTCATACCGGTGATTACCATGAAGATATGAACGCTGATGTCTTTCAAGAATGGTTCGAACAAATGATAGATCTTCTTCCTAAGAACTGTGTAATAGTAATGGATAATGCAAGTTATCACTCCAGACTTATAGAAGGACTGCCCACAACCAAGTGGTTAAAAAAAGACTTGCAGAATTGGCTGAGTTCAAAAAATATTACGTACCATCCCGGATCTATAAGAAAGGAACTTTATTCGTTGTGTGCCCTTCATAAAGAAAAATTTAAAAAATACGAAATTGATGAAATTTCCAAAAATCGTGGAATGACAGTACTTAGATCCCCACCATATCATTGTGAATTAAACCCGATTGAACTGGTATGGGCACAGATAAAGAGTGAAGTTTCAAGAAAAAATACCACTTTTAAAAGTCATGATGTTAAACAGTTGTTTTTGGAGGCCGTAAATAATGTAAAACCTGAAAACTGGGAAAAGGCAGTAAATCACACTATTAAAGAAGAGGAAAAAATGTGGAAGCTGGACAATATTACTGATAAAATGATCGAGCCAGTTATTATAAATCTTGGTTCTGAAAGTTCATCTATTGAATCTGATTTGGATTTGTAACAAGTAGCTGTAAGTTTTTATATTAATATTTTTATTCATCTATTTAACATACCTTAGACGGTTTTAAAAACTCTTTTTCTCTTTTGTAATTTTTAAAAATTAACAAAAAATGTGAATTTTTTTAAAACCCTTTTTAATGTAAGCCAGTCAGTTCTAATATAGTGTGTGATAAAAGAGGTCACTTTTGTTTACATACACATAACACTTTATTGTTGTTGTTGTTGTTTGTGCTTAAATGACTGCGGACACTAAATCCATTCGCCAATCTTACAATTTGAGGTGTAGTGTGTGTGTGTATGTGTGTGTAGAGTAATTGTCCTAATACTTAGCAAAGTCGACGTCATTGTCTTTGCTAAGAGACGCTAATTGTATCCGAACGTCTGCGGTCCCTCCGGTGTGTACCGATCACACAAGGATAGAAATTATTTTAATTTATTAATTTTTTTTTTAATAAACGAAAATTTCCAACCAGGTGGGATTCGAACTCACGACCTTTAGGTTTAAAGGCAGGCGCTCTTACCACTGAGCCACAGAGGGGGTTTATAACACTTTATAACATTGAAATAATTCATTTATTTTTTACAATTATTCAAAGTAATTTTTCAATTAATCTTGAACACGCCCATGGAGTGGTCGAAGGTACCAGTTAAAATTATGCTAATTACTCTCTCGTTCATAAAAATAAACTATAGAACTTCGATTTTCAATAAAATTAAATGAAATTTAACTATAACAATTAAAATGTGATTACGAAATATTCAAAATGTGGCTTGAAAGTGATAAATATTCACTTTCGAAAAATACATATCGATCATATGGAAAGCACTTAATTATTTTTAACGTAATCTTATTAATACTTAGTGCCAATCATTGGGCAGTGTACCCTAAGGAAGGAATATCACATTTTAGAACTTCACCAAAACCGAAAGTAGCAATAAATTGTATTTATTTAAACATCATCAACATCCGAATATTAAAAAATACAGAATCTTTTTTAATTAACACAGCAAATAGGATAATTATTATGATATAAATATTATAATGGTTAATAAAAGCTCGCCAAAGTCGAATCAATAAGTGAGAAACGTCCTTACTTCAACTGTGAGATTATTTTAGCAAACCTTGAGAATGGTATGATGATTAAAATAGTTTTGTTAATTTGGTACTGAGCTAGTAAATGTTTTTTTTTTTCGGCAGATTAAAATGCTGTTCAATCAATACGTATCAAAATGTTTATTTTGGTCAAGCTTAATACTTTACTCAAATAGAAAATAGTTCCAAAATAATTTAAAAGGGACAGTTTATAATTTAATAAAACGCTTAAATCTGATACATAAATCAGAAATACATTTTGTATATATTTACATATTTTCGACATTATTATGTATTAGGTATATTTTATTTATATTTCTTAAAAAACATAAGTAGGTATCTAAACGAAGAACATTTTTTAATATCATAGATCTTGTGTAAATTTTGGTATTGCTACAGGTGTCAACGGACCCAAATATCTACGTGATATTACGAGTTTATCCAAATTAGTGTTTGTGTAATAACTAAACACTCAGAGAATTTGTGCCAGCAGAACTTTAGTATCTTTTATGAATGAAGCGAGAGCAGGTTGCACGGTAGCTGGGAGAAAAATCAATTATTACCTAGTCCCTAGGGATTCTATCCTCAACTAGAACTATATGCGAAAAATATAGGTGTTGTTGAATAAAACTCACCATATAAAATCTTTGCAATGAGAGCAGAATGTCGGTTGTTTAAAGAATCTCGGTATGAAGTGATGATCTTTGATTTGATAAACATTTTTCTTCTTGAGAGCCCCTTTCCTACCGCGTAACCGTAAACCGAATTTTGTGTTTAGATCGTTACCGTCCTCGCTATTTACGTCGTCTTCAGCCATGGTTTTCCTTTTATCCTAGTCTATTTTATTAAAAAAAAACCGTCATGTAATGTTAGATCACAGGAGAGATGAGAGCGCACGACCGTTTGACGACTGTCGGTCGTCAAGAATCACTACTATTTTGATAGTAAGTTAAGGTGCAACAGTTGAATCGAAACTGGCAATCCAGCTAACGCGGAGTGTACAATACGTTACGTAGCGCAAAGTACGCGGTGTTCGCACTGTTTGCACGTATTCCACGTGCGGGAGCGAGACGATGCGATTCACTACCATTTAGGCCCGGATTCGCCCAATCAGAATACAGAAAACAATAAAAAACGCAGGTTCTGTAGTGCTTCTGATGAAGACAAGAGCGCATGCTTATTAATTTTCTGCTTCACGGAATCAGTTCTTAACAATTTAAATTTGTTGCTCATTCAATTTAACCGAGTAGATTTTTCCTGAAACAAAAAGATTCTTTTTAAGTTATTTTTTTTAAAAGGAAAAGCTGATATAAAAAATATAAAACAAATCCATTTTGTATTGTTCTGAAGCTATTTTCTGGTGCCAGTTTAAAGTAATTACTATTTAAATGGAAATAAGCCACAATTAAAGATTAAAATACGTTTATTGACATTTCAATTTCCACTTCGGAAATCGTTTTCAAAATACAAACATTAGTAAATTAAACAAATTTTGTTTTTTTGTCACTTAGTGAAAAATTCTTCGATTAATTTAATTTTATCTGACTCATTTATATTGAAAATTTACACATACATTAAACATTTTAAAGTAGAGTTAGTTAAAATCATATTGCCAATATTGTTGAGTTGCGCTCTTGGGACGACTTTACTTATAAATAAGATAGTTCATTCGATTACATGAAATCAACTTTAACTTGAGAATATCCATCAGAAAAAAATCATAGCACGTAATTCGTCTTTAAAAAGACCAATACATGCCATGATGACAGTAAAATTCTCCTGTTAGTTTTTCCATAGTAAATTATGAGAGAAAAAACCAGGAAAAGAACTCATAATACTATCCTGACATGGTAGTATTTGGTCGTGCATTTAGTTTACTTTCAATAAACACCAAATTCTGATTTTAGATGTTTGTTATTTAAAAAATAAAAATTATGTATCCTCCATATGTTACTGACTTACTTATACTGGTATTTTCTTTTTCATAACTTCCTCTTTCAATATAGATAACCAAATCCTACTACGTTCTACCGAGGAATGTGCGACATCATTGGTCTCATTTAGCATAATTAGAGCCGCTTCTTTTATTTTTCTCTTTTTACCATCTGTTTCTTTTAGGACTATATTTGAGTCATTCCATTGAACCCTATGTTCATTATACCATGCGTTTTACATATTTGAGATCTATCAAATTCTCTATTTTTAATATAATATTGTTCACTTATTCTAACATTTAATGGCATTGATGTTTCACCTAAATAAAACTGATCGCATTCACAAAGATATTTTATAAATGCAATTCTTTGTCCTTTCTTGTTCATTGTTAGGTTTGGTTTTGGACAAAATAGATCAAAAAAACGGATGGTAAAAAGAGAAAAATCAAAGAAGCGGCTCTAATTATGCTAAATGATACCAATTGTGTCGCAAATTCCTCGGCAGAACGTAGTAGGATCTGGTAACCTATATTGAAAGAGGAAGTTATTAAAAAGAAAATATCAGTATTAGTAAGTCATTATGGAGGATACGTTATTTATGTTTTTAAATAACAAACATATAAACTCAGAATTTGGTGTTTATTGAAAGTTAACTAAATGCACAACCAAATACTTACCATGTCGGGATAGTATTATGAGGTTTTTTCCTGGTTTTCCCTCATAATTTACTATGGAAGCACTAACAGGAGAATTTTACTGTCATCATGGCATGTATTGCTCTTTTAAAGACGAATTTTCTGACGGATATTCTCAAGTTAAAGTTGATTTCATGTAATCGAATGAACTATCGTATAAGTAAAATCGTCCCAGGAGCGCAACTCAACAATATTGGCAATATCATTTTAAAGTCGTCTAATTATTTAAATCGTCGATAAAATTAAATTGTTAGAAGAATTTTTCACTAAGTAACAAAAAAAAACAAAATTTGTTTAATTTACTAATGTTTGTATTTTGAGAACGATTTCCGCAGTGGAAAATGAAACGTCAAGAAACGTGTTTTTAACGATTATTTGTGGCTTATTCCCATTTAAATAGTAAAAACCATTTTGGATCACATTGTTCCTTAAAAAAATACCAAACAATCACAGTCGATGATATAACAAAAATAATTAATTACTATTAAACTGGGAATAAGCCACAATTAAAGATAAAAATACGTTTATTGACGTTTCAATTTCCACTTCGGAAATCGTTCTCAAAATACAAACAGTAAATTAAACAAATTTTGTTTTTTTGTTACATAGTGAAAAATTCTTCTAATAATTTAATTTTATCTGACTCATTTATATTGACAATTCAGACATACATTATGCATTTTAAAGTAGACGACTTTAAAATGATATTGCCAATATTGTTGAGTTGCGCTCCTGGGACGACTTTACTTATAAGATAGTTCATTCGATTACATGAAATCAACTTTAACTTGAGAATATCCGTCAGAAAAAAATCATAGCATGTAATTCGTCTTTAAAAAGACAAACACATGACATGATGACAGTAAAATTCTCCTGTTAGTGATTCCATAGTAAATTATGAGGGAAAAACCAGGAAAAAAACCTCATAATACTATCCCGACATTGTAAGTATTTGTTCGTGAATTTAGTTTACCTTCAACAAACATCAAAATTCTGATTTTATATGTTACGTTATTTAAAAAACATAAATGATGTATCCTCTATATGTTACTGACTTACTAATACTGGTATTTTCTTATTAATAACTTCCTCTTTCAATATTGGTAACCAGATCCTACTACATTCTGCCGAGGAATTTGCGACACAATTGGCCTCATTTAGCATAATTAGAGCCGCTTCTTTGATTTTTCTTTTTTTACCATCCGTTTCTTTTAGGACTACATTTGAATTATTCCATTGAACCCTATGTTCATTATACCATGCGTGTTTACAGATTTGAGATCTATCAAATTCTTTATTTTTAATATAAGATTGATGTTCACTTATTCTAACATTTAATGGCCTTGATGATTCACCTAAATAAAACTGATCGCATTCACAAGGTATTTTATAAATGCAATTCTTTGTCCTTTCTTGTTCATTGTTAGGTTTGGTTTTGGACAAAATAGATCTCAACGTGTTTGTTGTTTTGAATGTTGTTGAAATGTTGAATTTATTTCCTATCCTTTTAAGTTTTTCTGATAGTCCTTTTATGTACGGTATTGTTATTTTCCTCATATTATCCCTTGTGTATGCTGTAGGATCTCGTTCTAAGTTGTTTGTTCTATTCGATCGATTGTTGAAAATTCCTTATGTATAAACGATAAAGGATAATCATTTTTTAATAAAACAGATGTTAACAAATGTTTCTCCTCCAAGAACGAATTTTCATTAGAACAAGTAATTTTGGCTCTATCGTATAAGGATTTAATTATTCCCTTTTTTACATTAATATTGTGATTTGATTTGAAATTTAAATATCTATTGGTGTGTGTTGGTTTTCTATACACCTGAGTCTCATATCCAGTATCGTTCTTAGAGATTAAAACATCCAGGAAAGGTAGCGTGTTATTATATTCCTTTTCCATGGTAAATGTTATTGTCTCTTCTTTATCGTTTATATCATTTAGGAATGTGTCCAACAACTCTGATCCATGAGGCGAATTACATGCTATGATTTTTTTTCTGACGGATATTCTCAAGTTAAAGTTGATTTCATGTAATCGAATGAACTATCTTATAAGTAAAGTCGTCCCAGGAGCGCAACTCAACAATATTGGCAATATCATTTTAAAGTCGTCTACTTTAAAATGCATAATGTATGTCTGAATTGTCAATATAAATGAGTCAGATAAAATTAAATTATTAGAAGAATTTTTCACTAATGTAACAAAAAAACAAAATTTGTTTAATTTACTGTTTGTATTTTGAGAACGATTTCCGAAGTGAAAATTGAAACGTCAATAAACGTATTTTTATCTTTAATTGTGGCTTATTCCCAGTTTAATAGTAAATACCATTTGATCACATATGCACTAAGAAAAATACCAAACAATCACAGTCAATAATATAATAAAATAATAATGTGGATATTAAGAAGTATTTGCTATAAACTCATTGGCACACCCAGAATTTGCCTAAGGAATTTCGAAATTTTTTTATGTTACCTCCATTTTGAGTCCTTAAAATTTGGGTTTTAGTTCAATTTAAAGTACCAAAAAACCGGTAGCGGGTAGGAACTCTTTAAATTCTTGAAGATATTCCTATCAGGGAAATTGAATCAATTCCTGTCCTCTGCAGATTCCGGGGGTTTCCTGACCCGGAAAACTAGTACCTGTTTAGGGTCCCTTGTCCAGAGTTACAGATGACGTCCACAACTACAGCCATGGCGGAGAAGTAAAACTTCGGTACGGTGTGGATGGAGTAAGTGGCAACCCTCGATTTTAGGGTTGATATAGAATCAAGTCAAATACTGGTCAACGGTTTCGAGCGGAGGAGCTAGTAGATGTAAGGGCGCCCTTTTTCCTGAGATAGAGAAATCTATCTCGAAGGCGGATGAACCAAGGAATGGTCAACGGCATAAAGAAGCAGAAGGCAACGGGGAACCACTACATTAAAGACTCGTAGAGTACCCCTAGAAATCGTCATGGCTGTTAATGACAAGCATCACCGTACTAATCATGGTTCTCGGATGCCAAAATTCAGCAGGGGGAGAAATAACAATGATAACAGGGCTCCTCAAGTCGTTAACCAACGAAATCCCTGCGTACTAAAAATACAAAATTCATCTTTTAAAATAGCGACATGGAATGTTAGAAGCATGTATGAGCCTGGTAAACTAAGGAACATAGAACAAGAAATGATGTGACTTAAGATCGACATATTGGGAGTGTTAGTGTTCAAAATGAGAGAGGAGAACGCCTTATAGAATTCTGCCTAGAACATAATCTTGCGGTAATGAATACCTGCTTTAAACTGCCTAAACGACGCCTTTACACTTGGAAATCTCCAGCTGACAAGGTCTAAAA